TTTTTTTTTTTTTTTTAACACACAGTCCCTGCAGTGCTAGTGAAGCTGTTGTGAGCAGACGTCACTAGCACCTGGGGAGAGGCTCCATCTATTGGTGGGGAGCAGCACCTGCTGGAAAACGGGTCCAGTACTATCATTATTATCATTATTGTAACCACCTGTGTTCCCTTGTGTTAATCTTGCCTATATTGTCTTATAGACTCATCCTAGCTTGCTCTTGACCATCCTCCTGTTCCCTCCAGTTCCCCCCTCCCAGATACCCATATCATTGAGTCACTGAGTTGTCATTGTAGCATTAGCCTGGCGAATCTAGATCTCTATTATTGTGTCCACCTGTGGTGACATCGCATTATCAATCTGGCTAAGCGCTATTTCCATTGTTGAAACCATCTATGCCAGTCTTTCAAATGTGGGACGCAGTCTGTTGTCCACGAACTGTATCACCATTGGCCTTCTGTCCATTGTCATCTGAAGCTCCTCCCAGTTGATCTTGGTCCATTGTCCGGGCCTGGATGGTGGCTTCGACTTTTATCTCCAGGGCGTACTCCCTTCTGCTTCTGCTGTAGTGGGATGTCCCTTCTTGACCAGCCATCTGCAAATCGAATTGGGATTGGATATGGATTGAGGCGGGAGGACTGTGGGCTAGGAATGGAGAACGGTTCGGTGGAAGGTTTTGGGTAGGGTTTCGATAGGGATATGAGGGGGGCATTTGGGGAGTGGAGCCGATCCCGATGTGTAAAAGCCTAAAAGGTTATTGTCAGTCCGGGAGGAAGATGAAATTGGTCGGCTGGAATCGGAACTGAAAGTGACTTCTTGGTAAGCGTTCCCATTGTGGTTCTGTCAAAAAAAAAATAAAAAAATAAAAAAATCCACTGTTTCCATCGCAGCTGGTTGTATTGATCCAGTTTGCACGCCCCTCCCTAATAGTAGCCCTGCCATAATGTTTTCACTTTCCTTCTCTCAAGTGTGCATACTTGAAACTCTCAAGCGTCGCTGGCCAGGGGAAAAATCGCACTTGAGCTCAAGGTACCTTGAGTTCAAGTGCCAGCGGATACCGCCAGCACTCTCTCCAAGTGGGGCTTCTTTTTTTTTTTTTTTTTTTTTTTTTTCCCAGCAGGCGATCCTGGTCCAGATTGATTGGTCAGCAAGCCGTGGAGTTGGGTTTCAAGTGCAGAGATCCTGTTCAAGGGTTTCTTCAAGTGTACATGGAACCATTAATCGAGTTAGGCCTGGACCCCACACGTTTGCGCTTCGGAAAAGTTTTGCCGCAGAACTTTTCCGGGACCCCACAGCCCTCCGCGGAATGCCTGGAAGGCCCGTTGTTTTTCCGCGGAATGATTTTCCGGGACCCCACAGGCCGATATCGCCGGCGTGGAAAACTGGGGATTGGCGTTTCCACATGGTTTCCGGGCTGGAAAAGTCCCGCGGGAGCGATTTCCGCCGCGAAATTGTGCAGGGTAGCAAGGGTGGTAGGGGGCGACGTCGGTGATGTTTCCAAGGTTGCGGACGGGTGCCGGACTTTTGTTTGTCCGACTCGTGGAACGTACGTTCCTGGAACCAGCACGGCCGGCCGACCCGTGTCGCCCACTCACCGAGGCCAGAGGCCGACAGGGCGTCGATAATGGGTTCTGCGTGGTGGTCCCCAACCGGAGGCAACGGCGAGCGCGGGCCGGTTGTTCCTGCGGTCCATGCGAGTTCCAGCGGACACAGACACACTTTCCTTTTCCAGCAGGCCGAAGCAGTCCTTTCCTTTTACGGAAAGGAAACAACAACTTTTGCCGCAAAACTGCATCCGCGGTGGGATCCCCGAGAACTGTCTTCCGAGCTTTCCAAAAAACTTTGCCCGCTTATCGTGGGAAAACCGGTTTTCCATCCGCAAAGCTGTGGGGTCCGGGCCTTAGTGTGTGTAAATTAATCACAATTTCAGAATTTCTCTTCTAGTGTGCACTTGAAACTCAAGTATTTTCAAGTGGTGTGGAACGAGGCTCTTATTGTGTATAAGAGTCCAGGTAGAGCTACAATTGCTTTTATGTTTGCTTGTATCCGAGCAGCTTGAATGTGCTCTCGCTTTGATTTTTATTTTTTTATTTTTTTCCCCTAACCAGTTGCTCCAGTCTATTGGTGGGA